GCTCTACCCTTACTCTGTCTTGCACGGCTTCTCATGGATCCTGGTGGAGGGCGGCCCCCCCACCCCTCCTGCCATCGGTCCTGCTAGACGTGACATTGCTAAAATCCACTGTTATTATTATTAGTCTATTAATTAATATTAATTATTCGCCTACAGCTTACTGTTGTTACTCGCTGCTCGCTGTCCCCACCTGTTGCGCTCATGTCCACACCGCCTCTTTTCTCACTGATCGTCATCCGTCATCTACTATTCTTGTCTCTCTTTCCCTCCTCCTTCTCCAATCTCCTCTCTCTCTCTCTCTTTCTCTTCCCCTACCAAAACTGGTCCAAGGCAGAATGACCACCCCTAGAGCCGAGAGGTCTCATCACTAGGTTTCTGTCTGTTTAAAGCGCAACGTTTCCTTTCCCTTGCCCGACATTCGCCGAAGTGCTTGGCTCATAGGTGGTCACATCCGTTTGGGGTCTCTGTAAATGTTAAAAGGAGTTTCGTCATAGACCCTGCTCTTAATTTGAAAAGTGTCCTGAGATAACTTCTGTTATCGAATTGGGGCTTATACAAACTTAAACATCGATCTGAATTGCAATTGCAATTAACAAATCTGACTGCTTAAATCCCTGAATTTTGCGCTGTTTCTGATCACGATATTAAGGCATATTCCTTTTTGAGAGCTGAGTCCACACTATACCGAAACCAAGGGCTCACGTAATTAACTTACGTGTCCCCTAAAAGTTTAAATTTCAGGTTCCAAATGCTCCTCGCCTTTTCGTGGATTCAGCGTGTCTTTGTGAGAAATCGTCAGTCTCGTTACACCTTTAGGTCTCTGTTTTCGTTACACACTCTGCTTTGAGATCTGGTATCGCTTTTTTGGGCTTCTGACAAACCTCTGCTACCATTTAATTCATTCAGTTTCAATCCTCACATTCTTATCTTATATAGACCCAACTCTTATAACAGAAAGTTCAATCTCAGGACACTTTCAAATAGAGCAGGTCTAGACCGAACTCCTTAATTTTAGACCCCCATCAGCAGTAATTATAAAATCTAAGATGTTTTTATGCTGAAATATCTGGACCTCATGGGCCCCACAATAGGTTTCAGTCTACACTCCCTGTTTTTACCCCATTTTCTTAACTTGTCCACTTTTAACTTTTCATCAGGTGGTGTCAAGCTAGCATTAGGCATCAATTTACGGTGCATTACCATTGTTAAAGCATTAGTTATCGGTGCGTTTCATTTTACCTCCTGAAGTCCTGAAGTCCGAACTGGAATGACATCCACACCAAGTTTGACCACGTTCCAGTACAAGCAGGTTGGAAAACCGAGCTCTAGCTAGGTTAGCCATTAGCCACCTGTTAGCATACTAATTGATAACCAACACCATGCTTATGATGTACTTTTGCTCATACAAAAGACATCCTACACGACTGACTTTTAATAAGACACAAAAAGATAGAAGCTGCTAATAAACAGTATCACTTCACAGCTTTCACTTAGCTGACGCACAGGAAGCAGCATCTGTGGATTTTGAGGTCGAGTTGGTTAGCCGTTCTTCCGACTTCTCTCTAGTTGGAAACCTGAATCTCTGGAACTGGGAATTCCCGGTTTAAATGCGATGCCCTTTATTTAAGGTAGCCTAACATTAAAACGTGACCCACCATCTCCCTCCTCTGTCAAAGCCATTATTCCTGACGTTCTGAAAACTGGTTATGTTGTCCAGTTGCTTTTTGTTAGTTTGAAGCGTCAAAAGAAGTCACACATTCTGTTCCTTCAGTAACAGCTAAACCAATAAGCTTTCTTAATTTTTTTCACGGATCACACCGTCCATTTATTGTTATAACTGATGCTGGTAAATTGAGTGCTGAATATTCCTGTCCCAAGAGGCAGTTTACAACAGAAGTGCTGGAACATCTACATGTTTTTATTGTCTTTTAATTGGACTCTCGCTATCCCATTCGTGTATGAGACAGGAAAAAGGGCAATGGCTTGTTAAAGGATCCATTCTTGAAGTGACTGGGAAGATGACTGCATTCTAGCAGACTTTAGTTTAGAGAGAACAGTTCAATTTTGTTCCCCCCTGCTCCTGTCAATAGTACCATCCCCATTCATCTTCAGAGACTCCAGAGTGAGGCTGGGGATGGAAACGATGTGTGATGAGAAGGAAATTGGAGAAACGGTAGGGACGGATGTTGAGACAGGCAGGAGGACAAGACAGAGAGGAATCCAGCAGACAGGAAGGCAGGCAGAGAGAGAGCACAGTTGCCACGTTTTGCCGCTCTCCAGCCTCAAGGCCAGACTGAGAGTGTCGAGCCAATCAAACCAGTGAGTCAGAACAGCAGGTCTTCCTTCCTCCCCCTGCTGGGATCCTTGCATTACCGTGCGCCACACACACACACACACACACACCACAACACACACACCACCTACACACACACGACACACACACACACACACAATGTAGAACAAAAATACTCTATTATACAACACTGTTTTATGGACTTTATGAGCCTGTGCAGGTAGGGAAGGACTCTCAACATTTACTGTAAATCCCCATACTGAACAACCTGCAGCGAACCATCATATTATATAAATATTATATCTGATTATGCACTTACCTACAAAGCATCACTCCATTTAAAAGCTCATATTTAGGGGTGTATATATATATAGTATATAATATAGATTTTTTAATATATAGTATATATTATAGATGCGACTACGTCCGTACGCAGAACCCTGGATGGATCTAAATGTACCATGATCCGGTCAATGGTCCAATTCTAAACGTATGAATCGGCTGACTGAAGCTGCTAACAGCATCAACGCTATTCTTATTTTGTGATATTAAATTGGCAAAGAATTCACAGTTACCGACAGTCAAATTAGAGTGGCTGCTTTTACCCAAAGGAGGGCGAGCTTTGACACAAGACCAAAGTACACGGATGGGTTGCTCCCATTTACCCTTATCCTACAGAACGGCATTTGTGGCTTTAGTTAAGCTGATGTAGTCAGTGACATGCTGTTAAATTGCGTTCAGACTATACACAGCCTTTTTAAGCATTTATTTTTTTCAAACTCTGCAGCTGCACCACCATCCTGCTCACTCAGAGATATTCACATATAATCTCTAACATTATATGAATTATGTTCCATCAGTGCGACCAATCACATCATGCATGATTGATCCTACGTGTCTGAAGCTTCATATTTTACTGTTTAAACTGTGATTATACATTATGTGCAATAAACATTTTAGTGGAAGTGTTCTAGCAAACTTACAGCTGTCTGCATGTGAATGTGTTCAAAGAAATGAATGACAGTGCATAAAAGCAGTAACTTTAGATAGTCCTGACCAGGAGTTTTATTCAGACACACAGTAAACCTTCAATACCGGTTTGATACAGACTTAATCAAATTAATGAGGAAATAAAACTGTTTGGCTCTGTAAGAGTGAGAGAGACATAGACAAAACCCGCTAGGCCAGGTAACTGACCCACAGATTGAGTAACCTGTCTTTCCCTCATGTCAGGGTTAACATACTCAGATTTTTCACTAATCCTTCTTTTGGAAACAGAGCACTGGATTTCAAAGTCAGGGAGTAAAATGCATTAAACAAATGAGCAAAAATCATTCCGCTGTCTACGCCACCACATCAGAAATGTGTTGTTACTCTGAACTACTGTCACAGACAGACAGACCCACACAGATCAGTTCACCTAACTTCTGTGTGTGTGTGTCTGTGTGTGTGTGTGTGTGTGTGTGTTATGATGCTAGGTGTGCTGCAGAAGTGACTGATGGCTCCCAGTACTTTGTCCTGCTGATGATCACAGACGGTGTCATCTCAGACATGGCTCAGACCAAAGAGTCTGTGGTCAATGTGAGTACACACAACACTGCACACTGCACACAAAACTGTGTGTGGGGACAACACATGGATGAGTTACACACAGACCTAAGTTGCAATCTATCTTTCCTAAACTCTTAATAACATCCAGTCAGCAGAAATCTAGAGAATCTAGAGAAATAGAGAAATAATCATGGGGTGACAGAAATATCTGCTGATTTAATCACATAAATAATTAACAATCACATATATCAGTATTTGCTTGGAAAAGCCCCCAAATGACGATATTTGAACTCAAAAAAATTATTGTGGGAATTTAGTAAAACATTGAATAGAAATATCTAAAGGTGGCATTAGAAAGTAATACATTGTTTTATTTCCATGTAGTCTAAAATGTTCATTACATTAATTTCCATTTTTAATATGTTATATTCCAAATTAATTCATGTGTTAAATCTGACACCAAACTAAGGTGGCAGCTGGGGTAGCCAGGTATTTTTCTCTGCCACCCCTCTAGATCCACCCCTGCCAGTCAGGGAAGCTGAACATAACTGAAAAGGCAGACAGAGAACAGCTGCACTTGGCAACATTTTTATGCAAAAAAACAATCATGGTTATCCTTGATCATTTATATACACTTAGTTGCCCCTAAGTCAAAAACTTATTATTATTTTTTTTTTATAAAAGTCATTATTGGTTAGTCAGTATTATAAAGAAATGACAGGACTCCGTAGGAGGGGATTTAACAGATCCTGTCCTGTGCTGTGGTGGTCCCCAGAAAAAAAAGGATTAACACTAGAGACGAGGGAGAGGTGGAGTTCTTGAGGAAAAACAAAGGTATGAAGGGTATTTTGCATGAAACAGGCTTATGGCATTTAATTAAGGGACAGTATTTTGATTAAAAAGCAGTTTACTTCTGCAGTACCTGCTAACACATTTAAAGAGAGGATAATACATTTTACTTTCTATTGTTTCAAGGCCATATTTCCAATTTGATTGGAATATAATCAGAAATACACAGTGGCTTTTAGCAGTGATAGCAAAGAGAGAGCAAACAAGTAGAGTGCCACCTACAGAAACTTAAAGCTGCATTAAATCCAAGCTATCCATAACCGTCCCTCTGGAGCAGGGTTTGGTGTGCAGCATGAGGTTTGCCCATGGTGGAATCCTAGCCAGGTGAAGAAATACGAGCCACCCTTGTGACGATTGAAAACTCAACATATCCTCCGCTAACCCACTAAGTGTCACTCTATAGTCCCACCCCTCAGCACTAAGAATCCAGGGAGGCGGTTCATCCTAGAGAATGTGACGCGAAGAAAGCTGTACCGCCGAGTCGGCATGTAAAGGAGCCTGGTCTGGGTATGGCATGCTTCATTCAGTCAATTGGCCTCGCCCTATCAGATATGCTTCTGCATATTTCCTCTATATTTAAACAGCTGGATTTTGTTTGTTGAAGAAAGAACAACAAAAGCAGAACAACAGACTATGATCAGAACAACAGTAAACAGCCGACCAGGG